GTGTGTGTGTGTGTGGCTGTGCACCAAGATCATCACAGAGAGGGAAAGTGTTTTGTTGTATTTATTGATGGCTCAATTCAAAACATTCAGCACATAATTCTCGCTGAGCCACAGGCCTGCAGAAGGTGTGTGTGTGTGTGTGTGTGTGTGTGTGTGTGACTCAGTCTTTCTGACACTGACTGAGACCACAACGGAAATGAACCGAGTCATCATTTTGACATCATTTAAGAGCACGCAAACCCTCGACTGCTTCTTCTACGTGTTGCCGGTGCAGCCGAGAGCATCACCTCAGCTGGAGATTTTGCTTAGTAACTCATTTCTGCAGCCACGTTTACGAGACGACACGAGCCATTTCTGCAAAAGGAAAAATCTAAGTGTCAAAGCGGTGGCAGAAAATTTGCTAAGTGCTAAAAACTGCCAGCAACACATCTCGTCTGCTTTTTTGTCGCTGGCGAGCAGGGGAGAAGTGAGTACAGGCTGGAGAACGCTTTGGAAAAGTCTTTTCCTGGTGTGAGCAGCGGGTGGCTGGGATCAATAGTGCCGTGCACAGAAACACACAACCTGGCACACTGCTGCAGGTGTTGTGTCCACTAGGACGGCGTGATCGGTTAGATTCCTGGAAGGAAGGGCGAGTTAAGAGCTAAATGTGGAGCAGTAATCAAGGAATGCCTGGCAGCTGCACTAAAATATATACACTGACAGACAAGTGCAGGAATAAAATCTGTTACTTTATAAAATAAATAAATGAGCGGGGAAAAAGAGTCACTTGTTGCACGCTTGTTTCGAGCTACAGGAGAAATATTTGGCGTGTTCGTGTGCAGCACTCCTGCTCCTTCTGCCAGTTACAGTTAAACTTCAACCATAAATCAACACATCACTTCCTGTATTGAGTCATTATTGTTTTGTTGATTTATAATTTCAATCCTTTCTTCGGTGCTTTCAGCTGATAAGACTCACAGTCGGGGCTTGAAGCGGCACACCCTCGCCTGCTCTTGTCCAGCTACTAAAAATAAGTGGTGAAGCAATGTGAAAACACTGCTCTATTTACATTCTGTTAACTTACAGCCTCTGCACTGGCTGTAGTGTCGACTCAGGGCTTAATGACTGAGGGGAAATTTCACTGCTTTTTCCTGGACAAAGGAAACGGCGAGAATAACTGCAGATCCTGCAGAGAGAAAGTGAAGCGAGCTAAGAAGAACATGGCTAGAACGTGCTCTTGAAAGCATGTTTGATGTAAAAGAAGAAGAAACGGCTGAATAAGAGTCCCCACAGGGCCGAGTGTGTAGATACTGTCACATCTCATTCCTGCCTAATAGCCAGAGGGAGGCGGGGACAGAGATAAGAGACTGCAGGCAGACTGTGGATACTAATCTCTCTCGCAGATTTATGAATGATTGGGATCAGGCGGGCACGTGGTGTGTGACGCCCTGCTCAGACCATGCCGGCCGTCACGCATCTCCTCTGATGACACGGCAGAGATAAGCGGCGAGAACACAGCAAAAGTCAAGATCGCCGGCTCCAAGTTCACAGAGTCCCATAAAACATCTAAAGGAAGGGGCGTGGCCAGCGCAGAAGTACTTTCATTTTACCTCCCGATCAGCAGGGGGCGACTCGCCAAAAATAATCCAAACTGTTTGGAAGTTCATAAGAAAATGGTCAAACTTCTCAGCTGTTTATTATCTCAACAAAAATCTGACGAGTTTGTGATTTCAAGCTTCGTTTAAAACTGTCTAAGCACCGCGTGGTTACCCTGTGACCGTCGGGTCGTTGAGCAGTCGACTAACAGTCAGTGTGTGCTGTCACCCTGGCTGTTAGGGGTGGGGAAAAATGGATACTGTGTAGCATGGTGATATTTTGTTTGCTAATAATGTATGGATACAGGGACAGCAGAAATCGATA